GCCAAATGCGAATGTGCCGCAACAAGCAATTACGTCAACGCAGGCGATTACATCTTCACAGTCTCGAGCGCAGTCTGCGAAATACTCGGACGGCTTACGCAAAGTGCGAGAGCAACAATCCGAACAGCGTAATGTAGCGACAGACACCGCAGTGTCATCTACGTGTACGGCTGAAGTTCCACCGCAGCCAAAACAACATCGTAGTCGCTCAATTACGCGCGGCTCCGTAGCGCAGGCACGTTATAACGCAGACTCCAATAAGGAGAATAGCGATCCAGCAATCCCACACAGCCTACTACCGCGTAACGACAGGTCGCCAACGTCATTCGGCACGCGCCCAACAATACCAGGGCAATGTATCGCAAAGGCGTCGCCTTTACAGAGTCATCAACATTGTCCAACGTACGCTGAGCGTTTCTGTCATGGTCCATTTCCACCGCAGCGGCGTCATCGTGTACGCTCACGCGTACATAAACCCGCATATAGCGACCACCTCTGCATTATCATTCCCCTCGCAGGAAGCAATATGAGCGTTCACCATCGCAGCGACGCGCTTACTCCTGTAGGGAGTTTAGAGAAGAGCGTAATGCCCGTTACTCTCGCTCACCTCCTACAGAGGATTCACCTGCCTTTCGTCCCGGGGTTGGATCGTTTAGGTCGTATAACTTCGTACGACGCTTATTCTCCCTCCGGGGGGCGTCTCAGGGACCAAGTAAAGATCTCGCCCAAGCGATGCCCGTGGCAACAATTACGCGTTGCTTCTTTTGCCGCCAGCATCACTTCAGTGCGCAGTGCTGCAATTTTCCGTATTTTTCGATAGAATACACATGCATGCGCGTAGTTGGCCGCTGTTTAAATGCGCAGGCAATCACTTAGATCAAGATTGCCATGTAGTTTGTCTAGTCGCATTACGTGCGAACGCTATAGGAGGAAGATCGCATCAACATGGGAAAAAGAATAATGACCGCTCGATTGTGCCTCTCCCAGTAGCTAACGAACTATTCTATTGCTGCTGTGCTGATCTGTACAGATGAGTAGGCTCGGAATTATCGTACGCGGTTATGTCCGTAGATATAAACATGTATAATCTCGCCGAAGATCAAGAACGTTTAGGGAAAAGAAGGCAACTCGAGATGCCAACGTAGGCGGAGAAGAAGATAGTCGTCGAAGCAAGCGTGGATTGGACTGTGCTTTGATGAGGAGAAGGTAGGAGATGAAAGCCTCGAGCGAAAGCTGTCCTCTTGCCTAATCAGTAAAGCGTTGTTCGGTGAAAACAAGTAAATGAGAACAGATGTACTTGTCTTCAGTACACGACGATAATTTCTTCTCTACTCCGTAATTATAAGAGATGCATTTAATATTGGCGTCATGCGGCCATAGTGAATCGAGGTCTCAGTAATAGGCTTATTAATTATGTTTCTGTACTAACAGACGGTGACCCTGTTATGTAAGGAACGGGAGAGGGTTATACAACAACTCAGAGTGTGTTGATAGCCAGGTCCCCGTTGCGTGGGGGAAGAAGATAGGTCGGGACAAAGAGAGATTTATTGATCTTCAGCTGTAGTTGTTGCAAGGGCCCGAGGGACTGAACGATTTAAGCCATGATAATTGGTGTCAAAAAAGCACCCTGGCTGTGTGTGAGCAAGAGGGTGGGGAGTGAACCTCATCGTGGATACCATTGTTTGTTGATCCTTTTGCATTCTTCATAGTTATCCTTAAACTGACTCTTTCGAGGTGGCGGTTGACTATAGGACTATTGTCTTCGAAGGACTTAAGTCTTTCGAAGCTGTTACGTCACAAGCAATCTACAAATCGTCACTGGTTGTAACATCCGAGCTGCTGTCAAGTCTACGGCGTCAGAAGTTGTTCCGTTCACTGTCTCGAGCCGCCTTCGGCTCTCGCTGGTGATCCCTGGCAGAAATTATAGACTCGATGTATCTTGAATTGTATTTATGTTTTTTGTCGTAGATTAATACAATTGATAGTCTCGGTCTTTTGAATAGGCGTACCCCTGGCAAAAGCCCTGACGTTTTGCAATAAGGATCTCCCTTAAACGGCCAGTGTAAAGTATATAGGCGCCTGTAGAGGTGAGCTCCGGACGTTTGAAAAGCGGGTCATGTCACCGTCAGACGTAGCGAAGTAGTCGCAGTTAAGTAAGGACATTGCTCTCTGGTGTTCTCCGCAGCCGCATGAGGACCCCTTTCGTCGTTGCGCCGGCCCTCCGAGTTGTATTGATCCTCTGTTAACGTACTTTAATTCTAATGCCCTTGTTTATAAATTCGCGTACTGGTCGGGTTAGGGTCGCGTCGGTTCCTTTGCGTCACCGCAGTATACTGTACCCAGGTATCGAAGCTTTCCGAGATAACGCGCAGAGGTCAGTAAAGCAGAGGCCAATCGCGCTGCCTTTACCGCAGTCAGTCTATCTACTGTTGCCGCCGGGTCATTTTGCCGGCAAGAGTTCAAAGAATACGCTTGCGTCGCGCTTGTGACTTTTTCGTCCCGTTTGCCGTTACGCGCTCCGGTTGTTCGGTTACGTCAGCAAAGAGTGTATCAGCGCCTATTGGCATGTCCTTTATAGGGATGGAAAACGGAGCCAACCCACGTCGACCCTCCCCGTAACGGGATCTTGATCGACCCGTGAGTCGTAGTAGTCGTCTAGAATTGTAATATTTTCTTTCTCTAGCATACTTTAACATTTTACATGAAGTCTATGGTCTCATTTTTGTTATGTCCGCTGAATACAAGAACTGCAAAAACGATTGTTGGCCGAGCGGGGTAACATCCTGACGTAAACGTTGTTCCAATGTATATGTAGCAGTATCGCGGTCTCAACAAAGGTGAGTGTTCGCGGTCCGAAACGCGTGTTTCATGCTCCTCTCTTCTTTTGCCAGAAAAAAAAACAGTGATGACCTCGGAGCTTTTTTTGAATACCGTTATTCTTTGAGACTAAAGGATATAAGCTCACTAGAAAACATAGTATATCAATCTTTGGAGGGCATTACTCAAGTGAGGAAATGCACGAAAAATCATTTCGGCGAACACTTTTGACCGCTAATGTATGTTGCGTACGCACATAGAGTGTGAGATGCCCGTAGGCCGGGCCCATTGAGTCGTCATAAGGCGTAGTCTATTAGGTAGTTAACATCACGGCGTAGTCCATGGCAATGTGGTACGTAGTAGGTTGTGGTATACTTCCAGTCGGGGCTGCTTAGGCCTACTAGGAGTCCGCGTGGCATAGTGAGCAGGGATGACCCCGATGCTCTTGAGCTTATGTGAGGAGCAAGGCGTCTATTCCGGCGCGACACATCCCCAGCATTTGTGAAAGACGTCGTGGGCACTTTGAACGCGTAGCAGCCCTTTCGATTTTTCGAATTTTTTACCAAAACAAAAGCAATATTTCTGTTCTTTTCATTCTTATCGTGGATAATGAGTCTCAAGCCAGTGATTTATGGCTGAAATAGAATCATGATTTTTCCGTGAAGGATTCCTTTAAATCATTGCGGGAAGCAACTGCTGCTTACGAACAGCATTCCCTCCTATTATCGGCTTATTTGAGAGCTCGATCGAGCACCCACGAAGTTAAACATCTGTGACTCTGCTAAACGGTGAAAAAATGCGTTACTGAGCGCGATTTCGAAGCGGTCGCTTTGCCCGGCTCTTGCCAGCCCCTGCCCCCTGGGCAAAATTATGAGGTTTCTAACACTTGTTTGTCCTCATTTTGCTTGGGCTCCTTTAGAAACACCGATACACTGGTCATCCTCCTTATGCCTGCATGACAACAGCGGTTTATTCTTTTTTTTCAATCTTGAATTCGAAAAGATTAGCATTGTGGTTTCGAAGAACCTACGGGAGGATAGGGCAATATGGCCAGTCAATTCCGGTGCAATATTCATGGCACATTTTGGAGCTTCGTCTGACGTCTTCTCTGATTTAGCAGCATAGTGACTACCCTAAATTCTGGTAGATAAGCCCGAGCTAGTGTCGCGTGAAACGCCCCGATCGCTTAGTGTACCTGGTACACACTACAGACATGCCGCAACTTTCAGGATTTCGAGGTGATTTCGATGCGCCTGCTTGGCAAATGACATTCACCACTTGGAACGTTCTCTTCGTATTTCACGAAATTCGAGTTCGTAATTTTGCCTGTTATAAGGGATCATTAGGTTGCACAGATTTACAATTGAAAGTCTGGTTTTGAGGCGGGGCGTTTTCAACGCATATTTGATCTGATTCCCGTGGGAGGGAGCAGATAGAAAGAAGTAGGCCTGCAACGAGCTGGCCGCCGAGAAGGTGAATATTCGCATCGGGAAATAAATAACCCAAGATATACATAATGGTGCTGAGATGTGTCGGAGAACAGGGTTAGTGACAAGGTGGAAGCCAACTAGCACTAGGTGGCCGCACCGCTTAGAGCTTCGGCTGAGTATGGAGTGTGAGGGGATTACCTATCGGACCAGCTTATCAAAGTAGTCAAGTAGGTGTATCGTACAAGAAAGCCTGACACTGAGACGTTTCTAAAGGCATTAGGTTATATGATTTCAGCCAAAAAGAAGTCGCCTGTTATTACTTTTTGAAACATCTTGATTTTTATCATTCTGCATATCAAATATGAATTGGCAAATATCAGTTTATACGGGAAATGAGGTAGTGGATGATGGGGAACAACTCGTGCTTATGTTGGCACCAGACTTTGACCGACAGAACTTCAAACTAACATATGATCAATTTTATTTGACATTTCAACTTTCAACAAACAAATTACGCCGTGAATTCGTTGATTGAGGTCCTGTAGAGCGGCACTTTACACCGGATCAAGTGACAATTGCAGAACTTTGCATGTATTTTACAATTATATGATAGTTTCTTCTCAGTAATCATCTACTCTGTTATACTCTGAATACATATCTTAAAAATAATCGTGCTGTCGCAAATTTATGTATAATATTTGCACAGCAGTGTTTGGCCCCTCAACACAACGTTATGAACGACAGATAACTGTGTTATAAGGCGACTGTCCATGGTGTGTACGTGCCTTTTGCTGGTAGCTGTGGTACCTAAAATTTTATGCAATACATAAATTTTTAGTGAGGAGCTTTACGAAGGAACAAACCTTGCTTAAGATCTCATCTTCGCATGCCAAACGGATTTGTTCTGGAGTAGCTGGCGAATCGAATCGGAAGTATCCCTTGAGACCATGCTCTAGACGGAACGACCGCACAGCTTCTCGAATGGCGAAAAATGCACAGGCTCCGAGGAACAGCGGTGGTTCGCCAACTGCCTTAAAAGGAGAAAGGAATCGACAACGAATAGATTTGTAATCCTAGAAATAGAGTCGAGGTACTTGGATCAGACCTTAGACGAAAATATCCCCATTCGGTTACTGGATCCCTTCAGTAGCCGAACGTTGAAATGTCGTGGTGCATCGTCTGCTGACGGAATTTTGTAATTGCCTGGCCCTCGCGTCAGCCGTACACCGTCGGGTCGAATCTTTATTTCCTCCATGGTGAATAGGCCATAACCCTAAAGATGAACTCATTTTCACTGACCCACTTTTCCCTACATTTGTATACCTGCACGAATGCTCCCTCTATTTGACCGATGTCTATTGCTGGATTCAGTGAGTCACCAACGTCCATTACAATGTCAGTTCGTAGGAGCTGAAAACATAGTTGTGCCGTAAGAAATAGATACTGTAGGAAGAATTCGACATCAAAACAGCGTACGTGATGATCTCCTGTTAAGCAGTCAACTTCAACTTCACAGCAAGCACTTCCATATACGCAATAGCCAAACATCTCGGCTCCTTTGCCATTGAAGAAGTCGACAGTTTCGCTGTGAATTCTGGAAAAAGTAAGCATCTGGATAGACCAACACAACTGTTCCAGCCGTTGACGCGAATTGACTCTCACATACATTCCAAATCCGGTAGCCGACAACGAAACCCGCTCCACGTAAGCTTGACGAACCCATTCTACCCATGTTCCTTTGGGGTTGGCCTTTTTGAAAGGCTCCAAGCGCTTCAGGAGTTTATTACAAGCATCCTAAAATGATTAATTTTGTTGTTGTTGTTTCGGTAAGACATTTTATGCATGATGAATAGATGGGTAAGTAACACGCCACGCATTCCTCCACCCGAAAAATATGAATTATCCTATTCCGGTAGATAAGCTCGCGACAATATCACGTAAAAACACCTCCGCTGGTGCAGTGCACTTGCGTATATCTAGAGAGTACCGTAACTTGTCCAGAGAGGTAATTAGATATGCTGATTACGAGAACGACATTCATTTTTAGCGGTGGCGCCATCTGGCGCCAGTTTGGACTTCACTTGTCACGACCCCTTGTTTCACAAAATCGTGTAAAATATGTAGAGCGGTTACTTGGGTCCTGATTACGAATCTATGCACATTTTACGTGGCATTGACGTTACGAGTATCGATTAAGAAGGAACAGACGAGCAGAAAATAGACGCCAAATAGCGCCAGCGCTGAGAATGAAAGTCATATTCGATATCAGGACACCGAATATCACTATACGAAAGTTTACACCGAATCTGGAAAAGACAAGGTGACGCCAACTGGCGACACCGACAGAAAGGAAGGTTTTTGTAATGAGGACATTGAATCATATAGGCAAATTCACGGTAGTTTCTAAGGTGTACAAAATTACAATGCACTAGCGGAGGTGTTTTTACATATATTGCTGCGGGCTGATCTACCGGAAATCAGGGTACTCTAGTAGGCAGTACGAGATGTTGCACAATGCCCCCCCCCTATTCAGGCAGACTCTGATAAAAAAAATACCTGCACAGCAAGACCATTCATATCACTTCCCACTGACGCAGCTGTTGGAGAAGCGTTCGGAACCTGGAAATATGTGTTTATTATGAGTCAGTCTAGTCCTCTGAGTCATTGTGCATGTTCCGATGCATTAAAAATATGAAAAGGATGATATTCAGCATACAGCCTATGCTAACCTTGTCCGTGGCTGTCTCATGAATATGCACCATTTCGATAGGAATGTCCAAAATTCGAGCTGTTATCTAAACGATGGATTATTTTTACAAATCTCTCCCAAAAAAGCCTTCATAAAATATGTGAAACTTATACGAAGAAGTTCTATTTAAACAACCTGCAGGATTTTCGTGTGCAGCCCTTGGCCCATTTCCATACCTCCGTGGGAAACCAGCACTGAACCGTCGGTATAAATCAAAACGAGAGCACCAGCCTGTAATTGTACTTACACTCAGGGTCAAGCGTGCGTTGAGGAATCCTCGACATGTCACAGAGGGGGGGGGTCGTATTGGCCCGCTGGGGAGAGATCGGGCCCGATTGATACAGTAGGATCATCGTCGGAGGACAAACATTAAGGATCGAATCGATACCAGGCCAGAGTATTTCCAATAACAATTGATTCCGTCCACACAAAATCTTCGTGATTTAGAGGTGTCCGCTTAGCAATTCTTAGTGACTTTAGTGTTTCATCACCACACAAGTCAAAGGATCCGAAATTCGCACGTTTTCTAGGGATATTTTATCTTTCAAGTAGGTCCTCAAATCCAACGAGATGTGAAGCACACGGCGCATCCCAGAGTGGGCCCAGTTGGTTGCGCGCGCTTCAGCTACGGCTATCTTGATAACGAATCTTAATTCAGGAAGAATCAAGAGGGTTCTGAAAGAGTTCATGTTAAATTACAGAGAGGAGTACACTATTCAACAAGAAACGCAGCCTTCAGCGTCAAATTCACAAGCATGTAACCTTTAAAGTTGAGACCCGCTAAACAATTTTACACTTTTTGCAGAGAGAAAAGCACGAGGATTTTGAATCTGCTCCTACTTCAGTATGTAATCGCTCCTGCAAGGAGCTATAGTCGTTGGGATAGTGCTAATGTAGCGAAAAAGTACCTTTCGGCGGTACTCGGGCAAAAATCCTCAACGTGGCCATTTTTTAAATAGTGAACGTATTTAGCAGTTTTAGTTGCCTATAGAAAGAGCAAATCTTCTAGTTTATGATGACGTATTAACTTTCCAGATTGCATGAGTTTGAACGGAGTTATGGCTTTGGAAAGCGTAAAAACTCGCACTCATCACGAATTTTCCTCGTTAATTTTGCAAAAATCCTCAACGTGGCCATTTTTTGAGTACTGGACGTCGTATGTATCGTCTATTTTGTATTATTTTGCGTTAGAACTCAGCAAGATTAGGCGCTTTACCGGGTGAGCTACAGAGCTAGGACTTCGAACCAGTTTCAGGTCCTGAAGACGACGATTTGTCGAAACGTTGACCAATAAACGTGTTCCACCGTAACAACCTGTTTGGCACAGAAGAAAACAGCACAATATTCAAAATGCCCAGGTTCCAGGAAAACCGAACATGGAGTTTTATACTGAACATTCAAGATGTTGTGATAAGAGCATTTTTACACATTACATGAAGAAATTTGTTGCTGGGGAAAGAGGAGGTGTCCTTTTACAACACAGTACACTATTCGAAGGAGGATTCCACGATAAGGTTGAGTCGAACGCCAACCCGACTGGTTAGCCACTCGCCGCAGATCTCCAGCCGTTTCAGTAGAAAGAGCGTTACCATTGAAGAGGGCAGCGCCGATGAGAGTCGCGCCAATGCGGCGATCAAAGGGCAAGAAGGGGTGCCGCGTTTTGCGTTTCAGACCGATCTTCTTGCTTTCTTCATCTCTGATGACTGATCACCCCCCCCCCTGCCCTTGATTCCTAATGAGTTGCCTTTGATCGTGCCTTCCAAGGCAAAGCTTGCAATGAAACGGCAGCTCATAGAAATTACGGTAGTCGTGGTCAATGGAGCAGTGATGAAGAAGGAACCAAGAAAAACGGCTCAGAACCCATGAAATAGGATCTCTTCTGCCGTTGATTTTCGAATTGGGTCGCGGCAAGAGCCCTGAGGTGAGGAGTTGGCCAGTCCTAGGGCGTGCAGCGTCACGATTGTCGCCTGTGCGCGCCTGCTAGACCGCTAGGGACATACACATCGTAACGAACCTTAAGGGAGCCCCAGTCTCTCGACTGGGTATATTTTCTTGTCTTCGACTTCCGACTTTATTGTGGAATCCTCTTTTGAAGGCAAATTTGACCTACAGCCGACCAACCGATTTATCAAATGCGGTCCTATCCTGTGATTTTAAGGGAGGGATCGTATTTAAAAATTATAAAATATTTTGACCGAATTGATCGTTTCACTAGTTATACGCAGTCCCCCTATTTCAATTTCTTTTGATGGGATTCCTGGGGCATTAGGTGGAAAGCGTGTCGAGGCGCTATGTGACAACAGTATTGTCCGAAGTTATTATCTACTGGTAGATACGGCGAAGGTTTTGAGATTAAACCGAAATATTACAGGAATTTTTTGGAAACTTCCCGAAGAATTTAATTTTTCCTGATCTCAAGGTTTAAAATTTCGAAGTTTCATACATTTGTTAAATATTAAGGGAAACGTATAAAGGCCAGTCACTTGTTTGAAGTTCTCATTAGAAAACAAACAATGGTAAGATTTGGAAAGAATACTGGACTCAAAAGCACCGACACTAAAGGGAACTTCGAAGCTAAGGTTGGAGCTTGATGAAATGGCGATGACTGACCTTCGTTTCCATTTTCGCGAGGGAGAGTCTCTGCAAAGGCTTGGCCAGCTTTTTGTACTGCAGATTTCTATTTTAGTCGCCACCCAGAAAGGCATGTTCTAGCGATATTTATTTGAAGGTGACATTGCTCAAAATTCGCACCTAATCAGAAATCAAATATTGTAGTCGAACTTCTGCTTACCTGATTCAACTGTTTCAGCCCGAATCCAATTCCAAAACGTGTTGGCATCATATAGATTCCCCTTTTTCTGTATTTGTTCGATCTGAAACGGTAGTGACTTTATTTCTAAAAAAATGTCATATCACTATAACAGTACCAGACACAGAAAAATGGGATGCGGATCTACCTAGCACAGCGTGCGATATGGCCGAGTTAAAGGCAAGATTCCAGCTTGAACTGGTGAGGTAATTCCACTCAAATAAAACGTAGGGGTGGAGAGGTGGACCGCCAGTGGAGAAAAAAGGAAAAAAATTCGTGAAATACACAGGAAATACGATCCTTTTGCTCTACGTTGTGGCGAAGTTCGAAAGGGCAGCATAGGCCGATGTCATAGTTTGCGAATCGAGCGATTCGCTAGCGAATCGCTGGATCCGAGCGTTGCGCCAGCGAATCGAACGTTGCACCAGCGAATCGAACTTTGTACCAGCGAGTCGAACTAGGTACCAGCGACTCAATAGTGGCGGGACCCAACGTTTAAAGGAAGCCCGCCACTTTCAAACAGTGTCCACTGCAAGTCCCGCCACTTTCAAACAGCGTCCACTGTCACGTGACACTGTTTGAAAGTGGCGGGCTTCCTTTTAACGTTGGGTCCCGCCACTATTGAGTCGCTGGTACCTAGTTCGACTCGCTGGTACATCGTTCGACTCGCTGGCGCAAAGTTCGATTCGCTGGTGCAACGTTCGATTCGCTGGCGCAACGCTCGGATCGAGCGATTCGCTAGCGAATCGCTCGATTCGCAAACTATGACATCGGCCGGCAGGGAGATGAGAGATAATGTGAGCGCGGAGAGCGGTAGAGAAATCCGAGAAGAGAGAGCATAGCAGATCAGCATTGCGACGCAGACAAAATATCGAGCGGTGGGCGGAGCGTGTCGCAACAGGTGGAGCGTGTCAAAGTCCTTGGCCCTAGCGCCTTAGTGACGCATTTCGATGCGGGGACTTGGCGAGTCGCCTGCAGTTGCGTCCCATGCGCTTCTAGCCACTTAAGGGCTCATTAGGTGGGTCTGAGCCCGAACTTTGCCTTTAACCAGTATGCCAGAAGGAGAAGCGTCAAAAGCCTCGAATGCCTACCGCTCACCTCGCCGCGTTTTACGCGCGCCCAAACAGCACGCGAATTGAAATTAGCTCACACTAACATTCTGTGAATGGGGAATTACTTTTGAACTGCTGTAAGTTTTGTCCTTCCCCCTGTGAGTCCCTTCGTTTTTCCTCATGGACGTGTTCCTATGAGCATCTAGAGTGCACTTGAGAGGGTGAAACAGTGCTTCAGCACACATTTGGGAACACGTGATTCAGGCGTTCATACACTGCACTGGCACGATAGCTGGGCTGGGTGGCCCGATTCATTTGCCGCCTAAATTTATGGTCCACCGGCCACGATTGGCAGTTGACACATACTCATGGTAAGTTGAATTTTTTTAATCTCAATTATCCCCTCAGTGACAGCGACCACGATGGCTGAAGGGCGGTCTTCTCTTAATTACGTCGTTTAATGTCACTGGTCCAAGGGAGTTACGAACCAGCTTACGAACTACCTAAACATTCTTCAGTGGTCCTGCCGCGAATTCCTAAAGCACAGGCGATCAGGCGAACGCTCGGCTCCAGATCCCAACGAAGCAGTTAGGGACCCAAACTAGGCCAGGATGCGGTGAGCCCAATTACCAGTGCCGGCAAAATTTTGAATGTTGATTTCACACAGAAGTCAAAGTCGCGCTTTGGACGAGGATGGAGCATCGCAGGAGGCCAGAAGCATCGAATTGAGGTGGTAAAGTTCGACGCTAGACCGCCGCCCGAGCCAATACTCAGCGGGGTGCTAGAGCGCCCAATGTTAGACTAAACAACGGCGTGCAATGGCGTCATCAAACCCATCGCCTATCAGTCATCGTAATTTCTGGTTCCTGCTTTTGCCCAAACGAGCAATCACGAAGCGCCATTGCGGACCTATAAGGAAGGCTGCCATGGTCTTACAAGGGAGGTCTTTCA